CTGGCCCAGGCTCCTTGGGCCTCGGCGGCAGGAGGGAGCTGCTCCCCAGAGCCCCGCGGCTATCCCGCTCCCTCCCGCCAAGGACCCGGCGGTCTGCGCGGGGGAGACGGCCCTCCTGGCAGCCTAGCGGTGCCTCACCGAGATAACAGCTGCCCCCCAAGCTTGGCTTCACAGCGAGCCCTGCGGGCTCGACCCCAGGGTGCATGAGGTACCACTGCAGAGGGGCACAGCTGTGCACGGGGGCCATTGAGTTGCCTGGACCTGCGATGTTCATGCTTCCCTAGCATTCATTTGCACAGCTTGGCAAAATGATCGTTCAGATGCAGCTGCAATCGGCTGCACTGCGCAACAGTAAACTCAGAGGGGAGCTGATAAACAGCCTGTCTGCAGGGCTTCTGCCTGAGGAAACAGTGGTGGTATCACAAGTCTACTACCAAGGGCTTACGGTAAATCTCAAGTACAGCTGCTAACCACAGCATGTGTCTGTGAGATGTGCTGTCAGACTTGTTACCTGAAGGGATGACGGGCTATTTCATAGACTTCTAGACAAGTCAGACTGGAAGGGACCTTCAGAGGTCATTTAGTCCAACCCCCTGCCAGACGCAGAATCAGCCAGGCTGTAGCAGCCAGAGCAGACTGTGGAGAAGAGACCATTGCTTTGCTCTGCATTGGCTCTTCTGTGGGATGGCAATAGAAGCCGCAAGCCTTTATGGGATCTGAAAGCTGCTGCCATCATAAAAAGAGCAAAAGGAAATAAGACCATCTCCGCCCCCCAATGTAATTTTCCTCTTGTTTTTGTATTTTAGGTCAGGCACATCCTGTGTGAAAAGCACAGCAAAATTATGGATGCCATGGAGAAGCTGAAGTCTGGAGTGCGTTTCAGTGATGTAGCTTCACAATTCAGTGAAGATAAAGCAAGACAAGGGGTATATATTGACAGCACTCTTGGGTTGCCTGCCTAACAATGGAGAAACATCGAGGTTTAGTGCAGGGGTTCTCAGGGTGCTGTGAGACCTTTTCAAGGGTGCTGCACCACTGCAGTCAGGTGCGAGTGCCATGGGAGTCTGTTTGCATGAAATGCTGTGCAGGGCTGGACTCAGAAACAGGAGTGGCAGGAGGGCATGTTAGTGAAGCCCAGCCTGTCTGAAGGTCCCAGTGACATAACAGAGGACTAGGAGGGCACAAGCCCCAGGTGCTGAGTAAGTGGAGGTGCCTCCCAGGTCCCCTCTGGCTACTTGTGCCCAGGGTCAGCATTTCCCAAACCTGGTAGATACAGGCTCCTCCTACCTTCTGTTTGCTCCATGCAGCTCACTAACCATTGCTGTTGTCTAAGGGAATCTAGCAAGGGTAAGCAATAGCTGCAGTAGGGGCTGTAAAATACTGGGCACAGATCAGGAGCTGAGGTGGCAGCAGGCAGCTTGGATGTTGTTGGGGGGGCTTGAAAAGAAAGGCATAAAGCAGGGCAGAGAAGAACATGCTGGAGCCAAGTGTACCACAGCTGGTGGAGAGGGACCCATGGGGAGAGTTAGATGCACAGTAGGTTTGAGAAACTGTCCCAGGGCACAAGCCCTACTAGTGAGGTCTCTGGAAAGTCAGACAGCATACAATACAGTAAGTATTACCTCTTCTGGGCTCCACTGAGCAAAGTAGTGCTGCTCCAGACTGGGTGTTGGGCTCCAACCTTCTCCCAGGGTGCTGTGGGCTGCCTGGTAGGCAAGGACCATTGGAAAGCAGAGTTTGGACACCTCCAGAGCAGCAAGCACTGGCTGAGACCACATGAACCCCATTTCCTTGCTTGCTGAGCTCTGCCAGAGCTGCCTCCACCTCACCTGTGCCATCTTCCCATCACTTAAGAATCCCATGGTACCCTCAAGGTCAAATCTTGAGCCCCCAGGCAGGTCTGGTGAAGGAGGTACCTACTGCCTTCTGTTCTTGCAGTGTGTTAGGGAAGGGGCTGTCTCTCTCCATGGCTATGTCTATAGCTGACATAATAGATACCAGATATATATATGCAAGCATTTTACACACTGTAATAAATACATTTCTTTTTTGAAATGGGGTGCCACTAAATGCAGAACAGTTACAGAGGCAGCTTTCAGTCTAAAAAGGTTGAGAACTTTGCCATTGATGTTGGGGCTGTGTTTTGGGAGAGCTTGCTATAGAAGACCTGTTGCTGTTGGGAGCGAAGTATTCCTTAAGAGCCCTTGGAAAGGACCATTATGCATTCAAATGATGTGCAACTCTGCTCTGGAACTAACAATCTCCATTGCAAGAGCGCAGTTGCTGTCAAAGGAGCAGTTGTGTACTGTTAGAGGGGAAGGGAAGGTGATAATTGATTTACACCCAGTTCTCTCTTGATATGAAAAATAGGGTAAGATAGTTTCCCTAGCATAGTGGGGGGGCCAACCTTTTTGGCAGGCTAATCCAAGCTAAACTAAGCCCCACCCCCAAGTGCCTTTTCCCTGTCTGATTTGTTACCTTGCTTTCTGTTCCTCTGCTGCCATGTTCCTTGCTCCCTCCCTGGTCTGTTATGTCCTGCACAAAGACTGTCCATACCACTTGTGGCACACATGGCACAGGTTAGCCACACCTGCCCCAACACATCATCCCCATATTTCATTCACTTTGCTGCAGTGATGAACAGCAGCTGAGTTTGAAGTTGCAAACACTAAACAGAAGGGCCTGTCTGAAGAAGTGGAGGGAGAGAAGGATACCTGCTGTCCACACTGCAGCTTTGTTAGGTAGGTTTTGGAATTAGATTCTCTAACTGGTATCTTGATTCCCTCTTTCAGGGAGACTTGGGTTGGATGACAAGAGGCTCCATGGTGGGGCCTTTCCAGGAAGCAGCATTTGCCTTGCCAGTCAGCGGTATGGACAAACCTATGTACACAGACCCTCCTGTCAAAACAAAATTTGGATACCACATCATCATGGTTGAAGGGAGAAAATAAATCATGCAGAGCACTAAACAGTTTTGAAGCCTACTGGTTTAGACACTGAACAGGAACTTTCCAGGTGAATTAGTCTTGCCCAGCCTTGGGGATAGACAACATATATCTTTACACATGGTGGAAGAGGCTGTCTAAACTACTTTTTTACAGTTTCACCTCAAATGACAGGTCATAGTGTTAGCAGGGATAGGGGCCAACAGCACATCCTAGATAAAGGTCAGGTGAAGGTCCTTAGGTAATTGTTGAACTCTGCTTAGTCATGTGATAGATGTGAGATTCTTGCCCTGTGGGAAGGCAGGAATGGATCACAGGTCCATTTGGGTGCAGAGGACCGAAGTTCCAATTTCCTGCAAGTTATTGGGCTCCCAAAGTGCAACGCAGTCAGTCAGTCTAGAACAAAATTATTTTAGAAGAATAGTTAATAACAGAAAATAGTGCTGGAATGGAAGGGACCTCAGGACTTCACATAGTCTAACCCTCTGTTCAGGGCAGACTTATTCCTGTCTAAACCATCCCAGCTAAGCTAATTAAACAGAGATGGAGGAAAAAAAACCAGTTGCATTGATTTTGAAACAAAGGGACTTTCATCTGCATTGAATTGCACATGGGATATTCATTATGAGATATTTCTTTTGAGGGGAGATGTTAAATGGCAGAACATGTCAATAACAGCTCCTTGCATATGGAGGAAGTTAAAAAGGAGCCTTTCTGCAGCTCCTACTCTATTCTCCATAAGATAACAGAAGATTACATAGCGAGTTAAGAGGTAAAAGTGCTGGTTTCTAAGGAGCCTGTGCCATTGCTGAAGCTGTTGCAGCTTCTCTTGCCAGTTGGGAATGGCTGCCAGCAAAAAAACCAGCAAGGTTTTCTTGGAAAATGGCCTAGTAAGGGAGTTGGGTAAAACTGGTGAGGCTAAAAGCATTGGTCCCTATACCCATAACATAGAGATGTTCTAATTGGCTCACTAATGACTTGTGCTAGAAGGAGTTGTAATGCCTCAGGTATAAGAGTTTGTAGGTTTATCTTAGATTGCTGTTTCCAGTCATCCTCAGTCAAAGGTTATTATGATGCCCTTCATTTAACTCAGTGGCAACTAGTCAGTTAGGCGATACCTTTGGAAACCACATCTAATCATTTCAAAACATCAATAAAAGCTAGGTACCAGAGGGCAGAGTCTTATTAATTCTGAGGAAAGGCCTTAGCACTCAGAGGAATGGGATGTGTGTGGGGCCCTTTGTAGCTGCCTACACAGAACAGGCAACAGTTATTGAGAGCTGCAATTTGTTGTAGGGCAAGCTTTACACTCAGCTGGGCTCTCTGCTCTAACAATGACTAGCTCCTTCCCCCATTACAGTCAATCCTCCCCCTGTACTCAAGCTTGCCTCAAAGCTTCCATTTTAACTTAAAATTGGATGTAACAGATGATCTTGGCCTCCCTGAGTAATGCAGTCCTTTCATACCACACAAACCTTTCCACCCAAACCTCCCTCACCCTAATTGGAATGGTTTAAGTGGGGGAACTGATTTTTTTGCTAAGAAGAGAAGCACACCATTTTGATTCCTGCATGCAGCAGAAGTGGCATTTCTATTCAGGCAGCTGAGGGAGTCAGATAATTTAATGGCTCCCTCTTAGCAACTGTGATGTGAATAACAATCACCTCTCCCTTTTTAATGGTCTTGATGTTCCACTAATCAAGCTAACCTTCCTTCAGGCAATTTTATTGTCTTGTAGCTACTCCTGCTCGCTCTCCTATTTCATAGTCTTACAGTCTGTTTTTTCTGCTCTTTTCAAAATTGTAGATCCACTCATTGAGGCCAGTTTTCAGCAGTAGCTAGCATTATCAGCTTTTGGTTAAGCAGGAACGGGAGGTTGATTAAGCTGAAAGTTAGGTTCCGTCCTTGCTCTATGCAGCCATAACTTTGGAAAAATAGTTTTGGGAAAGGCAGACCAAAAAGAAAACAAGATGTGTGAGAGATATGCGAGAGAAGATGGTAGCAGCAGCTTTTTTATGCACTTTCCGTCTTTGACTTTAAACTAGCATTTATTTCTGTATGCCTTCCCTTGCTCAGCTTAAGTTTTAGATACCGTATTGGTCAGAAGAGACGTTGAGCTCAAGCAAGACAAGTAGAAGAGAGTTTAGTTAACTGGCTTTCTTTTCAAATAAAGAGAACTTGGGTATCTTAACATGAACTGTCAAATGGAATGGACACAGTTTTTCCAGATTACATATGGCAAAATAAGTGAAAGTTTGCAGCCATTTTGGTTCTCTCTTCCCAAACCTCCTTAGGGGAACAATGAGCCAAGTACACTATCATCATTGCTCTCAACATTGTGAGCTGGAAGCAAGAGAGAGAGAAGTCTGCATTCTGTGAGATCCACCTGATGCATGAAAAGCCATGGCACAATATCTTATCAGGCAGTATTCAAGACTTTGTTGTGTGGTTCAAAATAGGCAGACTGGCTCAATGGGTATCTTTCAGACAGCTGCTTGGAGGAGCTATGTATCCCTGACAGGCCTGATCCAGAATACACCTAGCACACCAACTATATTGATTCAGCATGAAGCACAACCACTTCCACTCAGAAATACAGTCAGAGGATGAGATGGTGGCACCTTTTAATTACACTGTAGCTAGAATACTTGC